ATGTAGAATGTGGAAGAAGAGATCTTTTTGGAATTGTCCATCAGACTTCAAATATATTATTACTACTCCACTCCCTACAACTACTCCCTCCACCAAAAAAAGAAAGGAAAAAAGACTGTAAGCCTTACCTATGTTCTCTAGCATCTCTGCTACATAATAATAGCTCAACTACAAAATAAGTCATTTTCAACTACAAAATAAGTCATTTTCTTCTCTGAGCCTCAGTTGGCAACAATATTTGATGGGCTGCTTTACCGAGGTTACACACAAGTTTACCAATACTTGATGGGATGCTTTAAGGAGGTTACACACTAGATAATCTTAAAAATCCCTTTCATCTCTGACACTCCATGATTCTAAGACAAATGACCTTTCTGAGTTAACCCAGCCTCAGAACCTTATTTATAGCATTGTTTCTATGCAGAAGAGTTATACATATCTCAAACAAACAATTTAAAAGCAAACTTTGGGAACATAATCCATTTGAAGTTGGGGCCTTCCTGTATTTCATAAAATATTATCTACCATTTTCTTTCACATCCTTACTAAGCCCCTGTGAAATAACTCTTGGATGTTTTAATCTGGCAGCTGTAAAAATATGGTGCTCCAGGGAGACAGAGTTGGGTAGGGTGGCGGAAGACTATAAGATGCCCCAATTATTCCCACTTCTTGGAATTCACACTTTGGTGTAATTCCCTCCCTTGACTTTGGGTGGGACTTGTGATAGGCTTCTAACATGAGAAAATGGCAAAGGTAACAAGATATCACTTCTATAATTATATTACATAAAATTTAATTTCCATCTTGCTAGCAGACTCTATTGATGCTTTCCCTTGCTGGCTTTTGAAGTAAGCCACCATATATATGGAGTGGCTCTCACAGCATGCACTGAGGGTGGCCCAGGCTTACAGCCATGAAGAGCTAAAGCCCTGAGTCCAACAATCCTGAAAGACGGGGTGCTACCAACTATGTGAGCTTGGAAGGAGAACTCTCCAACAGAGCCCAAGGCCTGACCAACACCTTGATCGAGGTCCTGGGAGACACTCCGAAGCAGAAGACTCAGCTAAACCATACTCATATTCCTGACCCACAGAAACTGTGAGATAGTAATTGTGTCTTGTTTTAAGCCACCAATTTATAGTAACATTGTTACCTAGCAAATGATAATTAATGCAGGCAGAAGAAACACACAGTATAATTGGAGAAGAACTCCAAGGCAACAGAAAAACAGATTTGAGATAGGAAAGTTCAGGTAATAAAAGATCACTATGGGATAAAGTTTGTTTTGAAATATTTCATGAAGAGGTTAGTTACAGGACCCATCTTATTAAGTCTTTCAAGAATTCAGACTGGCAGAGAAGTAGAGGGGACAGCACACAAATAGAATGAATATCTTGGATAAAAATACTATCTACTGCACCGAGAAACAGTGGGAAAGGACTGAGTAGGTACAATGGGTCTAGATCATGGGAAGGCTGCAAAGGCAGGTGTTGAATAGGCTCCCCTTTGATAATGTAGGCATCAACACTAAGGAAAGGCTCTTGAGCAGGGAAATGACCATAAAAAGTATTTGAAAGAACTTAATCCTATCACAGCATAAAGGATGGAGAAGATTAGAGATTAGAAGACCAAGAATAGATATGCTACCACAACAGCTGTCCTGAGGTCAACAAACATGTGAAGGAAAAAGGCACATGCTCATGAATAACCAAAGACTTGCAAATTAAAACTATAAAATGCCATTTTTGGTTAACCAAATTAGCAAAAAATAAAAACTAGTAATACAAGCAAAGATAAAGCAGCCTCAGACACTGGTGGTAATGTAAATAGAATGGACATTATGGAAAGCCATATTCATTAGCAATTTTTATTAATAATCTTAAAATATTTATTAGTAATCTTAATCTCATCCTCAGACTTGGTAATTCACTTCTTAAAAAATATTTTAAGAAAATAAATTTTTTACCTATTCAACAAACATTTACTTGAGTGCCTGCAACATTCCAAGTACTACGGATACAGTCTGAATGAAACAGACTTCACCTCTGCTCTCATGATCTTAGAAGACACAAACATTTAACAAATAATCACAAAATAAATATGTTATTACACATATTACAGGACACAATGGGAATCTTTTTATTTATTTTCGTTTATTTATTTTTAAAGTAAACTACACTGAACATGGAGCTCAAACTTACAACCCCAAGATCAAGAGTCACTTTCCCCATGAGAAAGTATTTTTAAATACCTGATTTAAACTGTCAGGTCAAAAGAGACCTTTCTGGGAAATAACATATATAATGAGGACTGAAGGATGAGTAGAATGCAGCCACATGAAGAATGGGAGAAATATTTCCTTCTGACAGAGGAAATAATACTCATGAAGGCAAGAAAGAATTAGTTGTATTCAAGATTTTAGAGGATTCATCTATTAACTTATTCAAGATGTATGGAGGTAGGTCCTAGTAAATATCAGGTATTAGGGACTGAGGATTAAAAAATGAGAGAAAATAGTGATCAAGGTCAAGTTGGGGTAGAAGCAGACAAAACAGGTATAAAAAATTTTTATTGCTTATGGTAGGGCCTAGTATCATAATGGAGACAAACATATATTAGGAAATGAATGAAAAACTAGGAAATGAATGCATTTGGCTGAAAAAATAAGAGGACGGAGTAAAGGTAACAAACACAGAGACACTGTGCCTTCTTTCAAATCCAAACAATATAGACTCACCTGAGAAAGTTATGTTAAAAAATGTATTACTCATTAAAATATATATGTAGCATTTTAAGATAGAAATACTTAGATGGTTCAGCACTAAAATGGGTTGCACTGTTGGTTGAGCATCTGACTCTGGATTTTGGCTCAGGTCATGATCTCAGGGCTGTGAGATCGAGCCCTGGGTCAGACTCCACATTGGGCATGGAGCCTGCTTAAGATTCTCCCTCACCCTCTTCCTCTCAATAAACAAACAAACAAACAAACATGTATACTTAAGGTATAGCTACCTGGGAAACTATTTCCTCTATAGCTATCCATGAATGGCTCCCAACTATGCTAACACTCAGGGAAACTATTTCCTCTATAGCTATCCATGAATGGCTCCCAACTATGCTAACACCACTTTTTTGGAATAAGAAGTAGGCTCTCTTTGAAAGAGGCCAATTATAAAAATATATATAGTGTGTGTACATATACATAGTGTATTGAATATATAGTATGAAGAATATATAGTACACAGGAAATAGCTGTAACAGTATTTAGAAAATACAAGGACTTGAAATTAAAAATTGACCAAATGAACTTCTATAAGTTTAAGTGTGAAGAGTGACATTTACACAAATCTTATGGTGACAACATGTTTGGAACCATCAGTAAATTATAAAGGGAGCCATAAACATGAGTATGACCTCATGTGAGCAGTAGACCTGAAAGAAGAGATTTCTTTTCCTCCTATCTCTTCAGTTACCTAAATGGTAATATTTTATGTTTGGTACATGTCAATAGCATTAAAGAGTCAAAAAGTGTTTGACAACACAGACATTACCTACAACAACAACAAAAAAAGATGTGGAATTCTGTACTATTTTTGTAACTTCTATGAGTCTAAAATTATTTCAAAACAAAAAGTCAAAGAAATATATATATATAAAGAAATATAAAAGAAATACACACACACACACACATATATATATAGGCTGTCTTGTTATCAGAAATAACACAAGGCCTAAAAGTGTTAATTCTATAAAGCAATCAAAAAAGGGATAAATGAAAATCCTCCAAATTACTCTCTGAGTCCAATTTTCACTTCTGTCAAGGGATGCAGATGCTTATCAAGAGAAAAAGCTCATAGTCTGCATTTGATATTCCACTGACCAACCAGACTTTTGAGAAAATCATTTCAATCTCTCTAAACCTCTGCTACACCTACCTCACAGCATGGTGTTATATGCTTGCCAACTATGATACGCTACACAAATATCCATTATTATTATTTAAAATTATATTTATTTGAACTGCATTACTCCATTCAATGGGGGAATATTTCTGAGATCATATCATAACTATTTGGATTTCTTCAAGTTTGTGAAATTATCAAATTAATCTTATACTTTCCAGTAAAGGCACTGATTTAATGAACGGATTTATCTAATAATAAATATAGTTACTATATCCTGGAATATACTTCTTAAGACAACTACATCCTTAAAAATAGTTTTCACTGCTTAGCCTTTTCCTATAAAGTTCATAAACTGAATTGGGTAACCCATTACTTTAAAATGTTTGGTTAATTTTGAAGACTTGATTTATTTATTAAACCTGTCTAATCAACTGTGATGGGGCATAAACATACAGTGTGGACAAATATACTGACATCAAATCTAAAATATGTATGATGACATTTTCCTCACAGACATTAAAAATGAAATAATAGCTCCTCTGAAGAAAAAAGGCAATTAAGTCAGGAATTTCATGAAATGCAAAAGATGAAACTTGCAAATTCAAAACAAATTTTAAAGTCTGACAAAGAAAATGTATCTTATAAAATTGGAAATTGATGTGTACTGTACTTATAAATGATGCATCACAAAATGTTTCGTTATACCTTTAATGTTTCAAAATCCATTATCATCCCTCTGTCTCCCATCAATACAGTCTTAGGAAGAAAAAGTATTACCTTATTTCCTGATTTAAGACTTCATGTATAACCTAAAGGCTAATGGGAAAACAGAGTATAGGAATAATCCTCTCAAATCAAGCCTATACTCATTAAAACCTCAAGATAGTGCATTTTAACTTGGCAGCTAATTTTATTTCCTGGAAAATGTATTGACAAACCAAAAACAGGAATAATTCGAGTGGGAGGTTAAAAAAATAAAAACACCAAAAGGAGTCATATAAAAATAATATTCAGTAAGATATTACTGGAAAAGCAGGATTTTCTACCCCCCATTCAAAGTTTCCACAGTGTTCATTCAGCCAACAGTCTACTCACTTCCGATGGGTGTGGTCCATACCACTGTTTGGTATTGCTTCCAATTTTGCATTTTTCTGCCCACAGATATTTCCATAGCTGTCGTATCCTGACACTAGTCTCGCTGCTGCACCTGTTGCTACTGAAAAGCCACAAATAAATCCCTAGAAAAAAAAAACAGAAAAAACATACAAATAAACCAGTTCAATAGCAACAGTCACTACTTGATACGATAATGAGCTTCTTTTGTCTGTTGAAGGGAACAAAGAGCCATCTTTCCTTATTGCAAACACTATTCAACTGTTTTCCTTGGATTTCACATAAGCAGCACAAGAAGCCCACAGGGAAACACTATTTACTACCATAACAAAACAAATCTCAAGCTTTTACATCATAAGATAGTCTTTGCATTTTATGATAATAATAGCTTCTCTGTATTGAACATCTGCACCGTGCCATGCTCCTACTAGGTGCTTACCAGACATTATAGCTAATCCTCAGGAGGGAGAATGAGACCCAGAGAGGTTCAGTAAGTTGCCCAATGCCACAGAAGCTAGTAAAGATCAGACCATAAAATCAAACCCAGCTTGTTTCATTCTTAAGTTTTATTTGGTTGTAAAGGAGTTCTGTTAAATGAACAATAGCAACAGATGAAAGAAAAAAAAATCAAAGAACATAGGTACGTGGGTTTTGAATTATTATCACTTTGGTACACGCAACACTTCTGTTTCCTTTCTGCAATAAAGCTGTATACAAGCCAAAGAATTACACCATGCAACACCACCATGCTTTTAATGTCTCAGACTCAAGAGAGTGAGGCACTGGGTCTGTGTGCCACAAAGGTCACTTCATTTCACAGGAATAGGCTTCATCACAGTGCCAAAGGCAAATAAATGGTAGACGCTTCGGAACTGTATCGTGCCTGCTAAGTCAAGTATGCAGTGACCGAGACAAAGCAATAACAGCCTATACTCACTGCAGGCTAGCAGTCATAAGAATAGGAAGTAAGTGACTCACTCCTGACAAAATGAATTGGGAGAAAAGACTGGCGTTAGAAAATCTTGCAACATGGTCATTAAAAGGTTAAGTTTTTTTTTTGTCCTTATTGAAGTGGCCAACGAAGGCAGAGATTATCAATGTTTAATGTAGGATAGTCAAGACTCATGAGTAGTGTGTGTATAAGCAGCCCAGTGAGATCTCAGGCCTATGGTGCTCAGTGCTGTACTCATATGCAGTTCCTCCAAGGAGACTATTTCCTTCCTAAACATACTTTCTTAAAAAGGCAAAAAGTCTTTTTTTTTCTAAATAACCCCTCTATTTTTCTTAATTTTTATTTATTTATGATAGTCACACAGAGAGAGAGAGAGGCAGAGACATAGGCAGAGGGAGAAGCAGGCTCCATGCACCAGGAGCCCGACGTGGGATTCGATCCCGGGTCTCCAGGATCGCGCCCTGGGCCAAAGGCAGGCGCTAAACCACTGCGCCACCCAGGGATCCCAACCCCTCTATTTTTTATCTTGCAGGTAAGGAAAGGGAGGGAGGAGGGAAGTATAGAGAGTGTGGCTCTAGTTAGTAGAAACTGCTTGAAACTACAGTCTGTAAGAAAGTCCAATTTCAGAGGGAGACTATCTCTGATTTGCTACTCTCATGCCTGCGGATCCTTGCCAAGTGATTTCAACTCTGCGTCTCACTCTATTCAGGTAAAATGGAGATAGTGGGTGTATATCTCATAAGAGTGCTATATGGATTAAATGAAATAATCCAGTAAAGTGGCAAGAATCCTGCTCAGCACATAGTAAGAGCTCAATAAATATTAACTATTATTGTTGTTAAAAATGAGAACACGTAAAGGAAAAGACCATGGGTTCTAGGGTCAGATAACCTTCACTGATCAATGGAATACTGATCACTCCATTTTCTACTTGTGTGATACTGGACAAACCTGCTTAATGTTCTGTGCTTCAGTTTTCCTGTCTATAAATTGAGGCTAAAACCACTTACCACAAAGGCTGCTGTGAGAATTACATGAAATAATGCATGTAAGTGTCTGTTTCAATAAAAATGTTAGTACCCTTCTGCCTCAAAGCAGCAGCTAACTGCTCGCAATAGGGTTAGGCAGAGGCTGGTGGGGACTCACTCATTCACCCTCGCCTTTTGCTCCCTCCCTCTCTCCTGATTCCTCCATGGAAAATGCAAGATAGTTCCATGACAGGACTTCACGCCAATACTAAAAAAAGAGAAAAAAAAAATACTTAAGCCCCTGTACACATACAGAGATGCAAACCAGCATGCCATTTTAAGCATATCATTACTTCAAATTAGGAAATCCTACACCGAACAAAAACTGGAAGTGATTAGGAGGTTTAATGGCTAACCTTTCCAATACAGTTCTTTGACAAGAAGAACCAGAGAGTAACAGAAAGGGAACCCAGAGAGATATGGATTTAAACCCTCACTCTACCACTTACTACCTATGGGACTTTGATCCAATTACCTACTTAGAGTGTTTCTTCCTCATCCCTAACACAAGTACCATCATCTATTTCACAGCCTGATGATGAGGACTAAATGAGATAATGCATATCTAACCCCTAGCTGGGCTGGTGCATGACTGGTCATCAAGACAGGGTAGCTGTTAGTGGGAAAATTGAAAGACAAAGCCAGACTAAAGAAGATGACACCAGTAATTGGGGACTAACCAAAAACTCCTTTAGTTCTCTCCTTTAGAACAAAAATTTCTAGGGAGGAAAATGAGAAAGCATGTCAGTAATTCTGACACTATACAGAAACATTCAGACCACAATTACAATCTTCTTTCTCTACTAGTCTAAAATAGCAAAGCCCTTGCATAATTAAAAGGTTATGTTCTTCTTTCACTTTTTATAGAAATTTTCTTCTTGTGTTTGATAAGTACTTTGTGTTACAGATTCCTTTAAATGGTTTCTGATTTCCCTTTGTGACTATTTTTAACAGTACAGTTGGATATGTGAGGGTTTGTTGGTTTTTGTTTTTTTGTTTATTTTTTTTTAATAATAAATTTATTTTTTATTGGTGTTCAATTTGCCAATATACAGAATAACACCCAGTGCTCATCCCGTCAAGTGCCCCGCTCAGTGCCCGCCAACCAGTCACCCCCATCCCCCGCCCCCCTCCCCTTCCACCACCCCTAGTTCATTTCCCAGAGTTAGAGGAGTCTTCCATGTGCTGTCTCCCTTTCTGATATTTCCTACCCATTTCTTCTCCCTTCCCCTCTATTCCCTTTCACTATTATTTATATTCCCCAAATGAATGAGACCATATAATGTTTGTCCTTTTGTTCCGACGTGGATGGAACTGGAGGGTATTATGCTGAGTGTTTTTTTTTGTCTTTTAAATCATAAGCCACCTCATATCCCTCTGGGATGTAGACAGAGTATAAATTATAAATGTTACATATATGTGGTAAAATGGGACACTGACATATTTTCACACAGGCCATTTAAACTTCTTAGTAGCTTCCAAAGGCATTAGAGAAAGGAGGGTAAGAAGCTGCAGGGGAGAAAGGAAGGAGAATAAGGTAATAAGATAGGAGGAAACCATGACTGTTATCGCAGGGACTTCCCATATGGTACAAGTACTGATGATGGGGAACTAGGCCAAATATAATTAAAAATACAATCGCCCTTAAAAAAACACACACAACATTCTGAAATCCAAATGCGGGAAGCAATACAGTTTCAGATGAGAAAAAAATGTGGTACATGAAATTAAAATAGGACGAGAGAAACTTTACAGAATGCACTCAGTAATTTAATGGCTGTGAGCGGGGAGAGGAAGAGGCATTCAAGAGAAGGAAATCATATTAATGAAGCAAATGATAAGGGGGATGAGGAAAGCTTTTATATGCCTATAGTAGAGAGCAATCACTGCAGAGAAAGTAAGCCTATTAGTAAGGAAGAGAACCATGGCTAAAATCTTAAAAGGACTGAGTTACTGAAGTGCTGGCAGAACTGCTCTTCTGAGAGAGGGAGAGAAGGAGCAGACAAATCTAATAACAAACAGGAGGTGACTCAAATCAGATCAAGGCATCCAGTGGTGGTGGATCCCAAGCTGGATCTGGCACACTAGGAAGTATCTATTGCCTACGTGGGAGAAAGACAATTTGCTAATTAATGAACTGTGCTCAGTACTTCAACGTAAGAAGGAGGATTTGCTTAGTTTCACTCACTATTAGTCAAAAAAAGGGACACATTTTATTTCTCAAGCATGTTTGAATTTCAAACCTGGAGCCTTAACATGCAACTGAGCAAGACAGAAGGCCTTAGTTTTGGTTTGAGGGGTGGGAAAAAAAGTCAACAAAAACATGTGTGGCAGATGGCAATGAAATATGAATATAACAAAATTATTCAAAATAAAAAGATGGGCAAAAAAGATTGACACTTGTAGCTTTCTCCCAAGGACTAATGAAAATATACCCAGACTCTTCTCCTCAAATATAACCTCCTTTAGCTCTCTACCTAATCCTACTCCTCTGTCCCTCAACTCAGTCAAAGCTTGGAGTCAATCTCCTAATAACTAATTTGTCAAACCTTGAAGTAACATTTGGCTTCTGCTCCTCCTCTTCTGAGAGCCCTGAAACAAGAAAGGCCATGAGGACCCAGCAGACAGGATAGCATAAGAATGCCTAATGCAGAACTAATATTTATACAAACAAACAAAAATGTAAAAATTTTGCCAATCTTCCAAATTTCTAGATTTCTTTAAAATTTAATAGGATGTACTACTCTAAAAGGAAGAAGGAAGCAATAAGCAAAAATGACTGGAAGTCTAGGAAATGTCTAGTTCACAAGCATTTATCGAGCATAATCAAACACAAGATGCCAGGCAGGGTATGAAAGGGTTATAATACATAAAGTTTACCCTGAAAGAACTGAAATGTTCTCAAAAGATCAGAAAACAATGAGGTGTGAGGAAACAGAATCAGAGAAGCTCAGTTTCATAGGCAGCTTGAACAATGAAAAAAAGAAATAAAACACACAGACAAGGAATACTAGGAAATTAACCCGGCTCTGCCACAAATACTCCTTATGATCGTGGGGAAGTCTCTGTAAATTCTGAGCCTCAGTTTCCTTACCTGTCAAGGGGCTTGAACTAGATTAATCTTTAAAGCCCTTTCCTCTTCCCAAATTTTATGATCCTAAGGGAAAGTAGATAAAAAGTAAAATGTTTCAAACTATACTTGCTGGAAGAAGTATAAACCCATTTGGTCCAGCATAGTGTCCGAGAATACAAAAACAAGAGTGGATCAAAAGCAAATTGATTCAAACTATTTTAAAATAGTTAAAATAGTGAATTTTATGTTATGTATATTTTGCCATAATTTTTTTTTTTAAAAAAAGGGGAAAAAAAAAACCAAAGGATTAACAGAAGTAGGTAGGTATTTGGATCGGGTAACCTTAAGGTAATTTTTGGCATGCTGTTATTCCTTTTCTCCAATCCTGCCAAAGCACAGACCATCACACAAATGACTAAATACTGCAGTGAGTCTCTGAGTCTTTCACTTTGTGCTGCATGCTCAACAATAGTTAATGAGGTAGAAACACTATGCTCTGGGAACTAGACGAATGCTATCAAATAAAGAAAGGTCCTTGAAAGCAGTCTGAAGGGACAAGGTATACAGGGAGGTCTCCTACACCCAGCTCTAGTCCAGATCATTCTCTAAAACTCCAACCCATTGCTTATCTTTACCCACACCCTACCTCTCCCAAACTCATCTTCTCATTCCACATTTCCCCAAACCACTTCCCTTTTCCTACATCTACCCTGTTTGCCTTTGTAGTATCATTCTTCACCAGACTGCATATGTGAGATACAAAGTCAGAGGGACTCCTCAGTCTCCCCTCTCCACACTTCCAGCCATCACTCTCACTTCCTAACTTCACGGGAGGAAGCAAGAATGCTAAACTGTTTGCTGAAACACTGACAAGACCACGTTTTGCTGGCAGGTGAGGCTACCGCGTCCATGTTCTAAACAACAACTTTCCTGTTGTTCCCAATTTCAGGCAACAGAGGACCTCTTGAGGCCTCACCATCTACCTCTTCTCTTCTGGGTCCAATACTGCCACTATGTAACCTAGACAAGTTATTTAACATAGCTCTGTGCCTCTGCTGCTTTCTTAACTGTAAAAGAGAATGATGTTGACAACAGAATCTACTTCATTGTATAGTTGTGAAATTGAAATGTTTCTATGTCGCATGCCGAACACCCCCTAGTCCACAGTAAATAGGACTAAGTGTCAGGGGTAAGTTGTAGGCATCTCTGTGCCTTTTACTGTTTGTGGAGAGCACTCCCATTAAGGCCAAGTAGCCACCTCTTTCCTGTCTTTCTGTGGTAAGCTGATCTGGGCAGATAGGGTCCAGACGGATCTCTTTTCTCTTCTCACTCATACCTCTCTCTCCCTGAGACAAAATTAAGTCACACAACCCAAGATGAGAAGGACCTTCAGGCCACATGGCCCACGCTTCATTCTACAAGTCATTTTTACCAAGGAGTTCTTTATTTGGGTATAATCAGGGTAAAGCCTCGCTACTAATATAATACTTTGTTTATCCATCTCATTCTTCTTCCTGCATGTGTATAGAAACTGTGGTTTGGAACTTATAAGCTGGGGTCAGATTTGACCTGAAAAACCCTACCCTGAACCCCTAATACAAGAACCTTTTAGTCATGCATACTCTGCCTCCATCTTATCTACAACATTGATGACACTCTCTCCTCCTCTCCTTTATCACTACTTTATTTCAAGTTTTCCGCATGTTATCTGGACTATTACAGCCTCTAAAGTGCTTCCCCTTTATAACGGCATTATAAGCTATCTATAACATTGGCTACCAGGGCCATCTTTGTAAACTCATCATTTCTTGCTCTTAACTCTTCAGTGGTTGGGGTATCTGGGTGGCTCAGTTCAGTTAAGCTTCCAACTCTTAATTTCTGCCCAGGTCATGAACTCAGGATTGTGAGATTGAGCCCCATGTCAGGTATGGAGCCTGCTTAAGATTCTCTCTCTCCCTCTGCCCCTCCCAGCTCTCCCTCTTCAAAAAAAAAAAAATAGGGCAGCCCTGGTGGCGCAGCGGTTTAGTGGAGACCTGACATTGAGTCCCACATCGGGCTCCCTGCATGGAGCCTACTTCTCCCTCTGCCTGTGTCTCTGCCTCTCTCTCTCTCTCTCTCTCTCTCTCTCTCTCTCTCTGTGTCTCTCATGAATAAATAAATAAAATCTTTAAAAAAAAATAAAAAGAAAAAATAGAAAACTCTTCAGTGGTGTACTGGTACTTAAAACAGTAGTCTCAACCCTGGATAAACATTGGAAACACAGAGATTAAGTCAGAATCAGAGGAAGAACCCAGGAAAGAATTGTTTGTTTGTTTTAAATCCCAGCTGATTCTGGTATGTAGTCAACTTGTCCAATATGAGAACCACTTGGTTGCTACCTTAATGGAAAAAAAAATTTAGAAGTACAATGCTACATGAAGTTTTTTAGAACAGAGTAAATGTATGTCCAATAATTTCAAAATATTGATAAAAGTTCAAATGTGGAAGATGATAGCTCTCAAAAAGGCTGGTAGCAATTTGCTTTGAAAAAAACCCTAAGTTCTAGACAAGGCAAGCATGGAAAAACTGAATGTAAGGGAAGAAATAAAAGAGAAGACTCTACTTATGAAGAGGTGAACACATATAAAAAAGACTTAATGGTGAAGATGAATGAAATAAGAAAGATCTTAAAATATTTCAAAGAGTAGATATCAAGGAATGAGCAAAGAACTTCAAGTAAGGACAGTGAATAAAGATACAGCTTAAATATTAGGCCACGAGATGACTGAAAGAAGCAGACCACTGGCTACTAGGTTAAAGAGTATTCCAGTTCCTATTCTACCTTTGTCACATGTTACCAGTATTCTATTCTTAGACAAGCTAATATTTAACCTTGTTACACCTTGTTTGTAAACTGGGGATAGAATCTATTTCATAAGGCAACTGGGAGAATTGAATGAGATAAATACATACAGAAGCATCAAGCACAGGATAATGCTCGACAAATGTTTGGTGAATGTTTCTCTGAAAAGTACTACAGAATGAAATCCTAAAGAAAAAAAAAGGCTTTTAAAAACCATACAAAACAAATACACAGAAGACAAACTTGGCTCAAACTGCTGTGCCAGTATGGTGGGCAACAGAATTTGGAAATTTCTCCAGTTTCCACATAGCAGAATGTGAGGTTAGCTCAACTCTATGAGGGTAATCCAATTAAAAAAAAAAAAAATCATTCCAAAACAAACAACACTATGCCTGCATTTAAAAGTACACACAGTGGGTCTTAATTACCATGGCACCGAAATCAGCATTATATTAATTACCAATGCATTAAAATGTGTCAGTAAACAAATAGCTCCTTACCCTGAGTCACTCCCAAATCAGCCTATCAACATTAATGACTGCACTTTACTGAGCTATTTTAGCATAGAAAAATCAAAAGCACCTAGAGTGGCAGGTACATGTTTTTATAAACATAATTTTGAAAGGTCAGCTGCTGTCTGTCTCAGGGATAATTCAGGGAGTAGAGAGAGGTTGCGCTAATTCTGTTAGCAAAAAAAAAGAAAATCTCTCCCACACTCTGCATGCACACTGCATTTCAGGTGCTACTCCATTAAACTAAGTAGACTCTTGAACCACATCTCAGAAGTTCTAAGTGAGGAAATGGGTATTTTGAAGTTTTCTAAATATCTCAGGTTTCATGAAACTGAGCTATTATCTTTAAAACTAGCACTCCTCATTTTGCCCAATTTATTACATATCTTTTTAAAGTCTGCTGCTTTCTTTCCCTTTCTTCGGTTGTATAACTGGTACCTGCAATTATGTCTATTAGGATTAGGGTGGTTCTGTGATTTTTCAAAGGGCGTTTGTGAGGTGTGCAGTCGCAGAGAACACAGAGTAAGATTATCCTTAAAGAAGCTCTATAAAAGGTATGGGGAGCTGGGGACTAAAAATACTCTCACATTTGTGGAAAAAGGCTGCCAGAGAGGTAGCATGTTTGTGTTTTTGGTTGTAAAGACTAAGAAAGAGAAAGCAATGCCCATCTGCACAGTCCCTTTAAGGAAGAGGAAACAAGCTGACAGAAGAGAGCACCGCCCTGGAAATAAGGAGAGCAGGGTTCTGTTACCGCTCTCCCATTAACTAATGATGTGGTTTTGGCATGGTCATTTCCATCTCTGGGTTTGATGCTTTTAATCTGTAGAAGGAGGGTGATGAACCAGATGAGGATTTCCAACTCAGCTCTGATTCTAGCTCTAAACATCAGCTAGCTTGAAAACCACTGTTTTCAACCTTTTTTTCCAGCTCAGCACCTTGTGACTCTAGAGTTCCAGAGGCCTGTGTCAGAAATCCTGCAGGGCAGGGTGGGGATGCAATTTGAATAAGCACACCCCTGACACTCTGCGCCAGGGGCTCTGTTCCTCCATCCCCTATACCCAATGGAAAATCACCAGGTCCCTGGATCTCCAACTGAGAGATGCCACTCTTTCCAGCAGACACAGCAGGCAGCAGGGGCCTGGTATGGGCAGAAGCAGGGAGCAATCAGCCTCCCCTCCAAGAAGAACTGAAAGATGTCAGAATTGGAAACATTGTAGATATCCTCTGGCATAAACTCTAATTTTATACAAAGGAACACCAAATCCCCTGAGAGGAAAACTGGTTCAAAAATAACCATTAGGTTTAAACGTGTGACTGGGTTGGATAAATACTCGGGACTCAGGGACCAGTGCTCTGCTCAACACTCCACCAAGATCACAATCCACAGAAATTTATGTCAAAAGATCTGGCTTTCTCAAATGATCTAGGAAAAGAGACAGAGTTCCAATCCTCTTAATTTATCTCATGGAGGCTCAAGAAAAAAAAAAATCAAAGGGTACCAAATACCAACGAATTGTATGGGGCAAAATTAAGCAGTTTCAATGGTATCCTAGAACCTCTAGTTATAAGCAATGCAGGAGGGGTTAAATATAAGTAAATAACAAGCTCCCTCTTTAAACCAATTCCCCATCATTCCCTTGGATCGTGAATTCATCAGGTTCTGATCATCTGTGAGAGTATCCTTACCATCCCAATGCAGAAGAGGATAAAAAGCAGCAGCCACGGTATGTCTGTACAGCTACGATCCTCCAGTGGCTTCCATTCTCGTTTAGAGCTCTAATGGAAAATGAAAAATAAGAGAGTAGTGAATTTAAATTTAATTAAAATGAGGAAGGCACAAACATACCACATATTCCTAGATTCCATCTTGCCTGACAAGTTTCTACTGAAGCTTTTAATACACAACTCATATATGTATCACCTTCCTGGGAACTTTTCCCTAACTCCCACCTTTCTTCTGGCCAGGAAGAGTACTGATTCCAATGCTTTTTTTTTTTGTACCCCTATTACATTTAGCATGCTGAATTAGAACGTGCTGAGCTGTGTCCTCAGAAGATCATGAGTTTCACAAAGAAAGAGACCTCTTCTCACTTCCCAGCATCATGACACCAAAGGGTTCAAGATATATACTCAGTGTTAGCTCTTTAAAATGAATAAACAGGGGTGCCTGGGTGGCTTAGTTGGTTAAGCTTCTGATTCTTATTATCAGCTCAGGTTTTGATCTCAGGGTTGTGAGTTCAAGCCCCAAAGTAGGCTCTATGCTGGGTGTGGAGCCTGCTTAAAAATAAACAAAACAAAATAAAATAAATAAATAAAATGACAAATTCTTCCAACTTCAATCCTAGTGGTAGCTTTCTTGTTGTGTGTCCAGATGTTAGATTTACAAATTTAGAATGTGTTTTACATGTGTTCTCTTCTAGAAAGAAAGTCCATTAAAATGAATTCTAGTAAGATTCAGGAACAAAAAACTAAATTAAAACTTTTTTTAAAGATTTTATTTATTTATCTATTTACTCACGAGAGACAACAAAGAGAGGCAGACACACAGGCAGAGGGAGAAGCAGGCTCCCCCACAGGGAGCCCAATGTAGGACCCGATTCCAGAACCAGAATCAGCCCTGAGCTAAAGGCAGACACTCAACTGCTGAGCCACCCAGGTGTCCCATTAATTAAAACATTTTTATAGACTGATCTGGGTAACTCCTAAACCACCATCCACAGATTTTCATTCTGTTTCTGGAAAGTTTAAAGAGTTTCTAGATTAAACAGAGATTCCCTACCTAACTAAAGAACCAGCTGCATTCTTTTTTTTTTTTTTTTTTAAGAACCAGCAGCATTCTAAAGGTGAATTTGCAAAGTATTGATTGGAATCCTGATTGTATTTTTTTTTCTTACAGCAAATAGTCTTATGTTGTCAAGTCAATGTACAAATTCCTTTTAACCAGAATGTAATTGAAATAACACCCCTAAGCTTTCTAATGAACAAAAATCCTGCACCCTCTGCTGGAAACAATAAACAGAGAAGGGAGAGAGACAGTAGCCTTGGAAAACCTACGGGAAAAGTTCCTGTAAGAAGAAGGCCAGGGCCTCCAAAGGCTTCCATGACAAGATCCAGGAAGCCATGTGGGAAGTCTTGTCTACTGGAAAGGGCACACAAGCAGAAGGCGGCTGGAGATAATAAGGAGCCCTCTAGTATAATTAGTATTTAGAGTGCAAGAGTGAGGAACTGGTTCTCAGGTTTTATTAGCTTTCCCTCCCTTAAAAAAAAAAAAAAAGAAAAGAAAAAGAAAGGTTTTAGCTACGTACCCTTTGATAACCTGATGAAAGGTACACATTCTGGTCTTGGGAGGTATGCATCTATTTGCATAATTGTCATAAAACTTTAGAAAATTCAGACACCAGGTTAGGAAACTCAACTTTAAAATACCTGCCTATCAACACTGAGGGCAAGGAGTCTGAGCTACAACCCTTCCTCCTGACCCTTCACATGCTAACCAGACAAATGCTTTTTCCTTGTTCAGAGCCTTACACTGTTCAATTGTTCAACAAAAAACCCCGCCACCCTTGATAGCTTGCTCCCAGACACCCACACAAGAAAACAAAAGAGCAGTAGTGAGTCATGGGGAAAAAACCTTACCCCAAGACTCTAACTAGCATTAAAAACCAAGAGTGAGTAGGCAGTTTTTTCCAGAGGAATGTAACACTATGGAAAATAGATGAAGGGCTCTGTTCTCTCCCTGGTTCTGTCATTAGTTAGCTACAGGACTAGATAAATCGCATCATCTCTCTGGATGGCAGGAAGGAGTTAGATTGGATCTCTTAGGTTCCTTCCAACTCTAAAAATCTGTGATCATGAAGACAGTTTTGTGAAAATTTTTATGACAAAAAAAAAAAAAAGCTACAAAAATAATTTGACATTATTCCTTGTATTATTCAAGTAAGAATGCCTGTATTGTGGTCTGTGTTTTGGAAGACAGTTGCTCAGTGTATGAATAAAGAATGTTTCTTTGTATTAAATAATTTCAATCTTGAGTAATACCCATTACAATAAAATTATTTACAAACACAAAATTTGGACACTTCTGCGAAATTCATTATATTTACTCTAAGGTAACCTCTAGAGCAACAGCTACTTTAAAATACTGTATTTGTTTATCTTAAACAGTCGAGGATGGGGTGGGGGGCTCAGCCTGATTGAGCAGTTTATTTATCCACAGCTATTTTCTTAATAGTTTTACTTTAGACAAATATTCCATTTTATTTTTTTTTTAATTTTTTTATTTAGTTATGATAGTCACAGAGAGAGAGAGAGGCAGAGACACAGGCAGAGGGAGAAGCAGGCTCCATGCACCGGGAGCCAGACGTGGGATTCGATCCCGGGTCTTCAGGATCGCGCCCTGGGCCAAAGGCAGGCGCCAAACCACTGCGCCACCGAGGGATCCCACAAATATTCCATTTTAATGCTTAGATTTTCACCTATAACATAAAGAGAGTGGGATTTCACTCTTGACCAGAAACATGCAAAGATTCAAAAATCTCAACAATTCAACTCACTGTGGGCCACTTCTAACCTTATATATAAAAAACCCTTCATTGGGGATGAGAAGTGGAAAAAGGACAGGAGTTATATATAAAAATTGCGATAAAGTACAAATTAGACCGGAAGAACACAAAACGGGGTGGCACACTCATTCATATAAAGAAAGACTTCTCAGAAGAGTGGCAGCTTACTTCACGGGGCTATTCTGAGGATCCCGTCACACAGCAAACACAAATTCTTAGCTATTATTCTCATTCATCAACATTCATTTTTTAGCCCTCTCCCTTTTGTTAAAATACTCTGGGGCACCTGGGTGACTCAGTGGTTGAGTGTCTGCCTTCGCCTCAGGTCGTGATCCTAGGGTCCTGGGATCGAGTACCGCCTCAGGCCCCCTGAAGGAAACCTGATTCTCCCTCTGCCTCTGTCTCTTGCCTAAACTAAATGCCTATGTCTCTGCCTCTCTGTGTGTGTCTCTCATGAATAAATAAATAAAAATCTTAAAAAAATATATATGTGTGTGTGTGTGTGTGTGTGTGTATACACATCCTTTTACCAGATGGATCTTTTCAACTAAAAGAAAAAAGAATATTAAACTTGTCTTTCCCCTTCTATTCACTAAAATTTGACTTAATAATGGCATATTTCCATTTTAGCTACTATTACTCTTTATCATTCTTTATCCATATCACTCATTGATCTCTATTAACTAGGCACTATACCCAAAACTTCACATACTTTATGTATATAAACATTGTCTTTAAAACAGCTGATGTAGGTATCATCCTTATTTCACAGATAAAAAAAAACTCAAGCTCAAAAGTTAAATAATCAGCCCAAGATTTTACAGCTTTGTAGTCAGAATCTGAATCCAAGTCTGTGACTACAAAGGCAAATCCAATGAGAATAACATTCATTTTCACCAGTCAGTAAGGAGAAAAACCTCCATTAGTTTTTCCTCACAATGCAAAATTTGGGAGCCAATCCAATTATTTAAAATCCTATATGCGCAGAGAAAGAGAGTAAGATGTTTTATGAGCCATGACATTTCTCAAGTGTGTCAAGAAACCCAACAGTTGAAAAATTTTAATGACTCTTTAACAGATTTAACCAAGTGGCAACTGGATTTAATGCTGTCTGTTTCTTTCAATTAAAATCCACATAGACCTGGTAAAAGTAAAATGTTTTACAAAAGCACTTTTTAAATGTGATTTTTATCCCTTTCTCAAATTCTACATGAGATTAATATAGGCTGTCAGTAAATATTAGGTCCCTTCCCCTTCACAGAATCTTACAATTTAGGAACTAAATAGGGTCAAAGTAATCATACCATGCAAGCCTTGAGTGACAGATTGAACCATGGGAAAGGAGAGGTAGGAACTAGTCCAATGGATCAATTTGATTCTCATAACAATTCTGTTAATTATTATTATATATTATTATTATATACATATATAATGATTTTTTTAGTTTATAAAAGAGAAAAATACGGTTCAAAGAAAATAAGTGGAAAACCTATTTCTGAAACCTGAGACCTCAAACTCAAGCAGAGAGATGGGCATATAAGTAAGAGTTAAGGAAATGCTAAAAATAAAAAACATGGTAACAAGATAAAGAATGCCTTTGTCATGCTCATCAATATACTAAACACAGCCCAGGAAGAAATCAATAAACTCAAGGATAAGTCAATAGAAATTACTGACAGTGAAACACAAAGAAAAAAAGAATGAAAAATCAAAAACCCATAACAGAACATCCAAGAACTACAGGGAAATATCAAATGGTCTAACAGAAGTGTAATTGGAATCCTAGAAGATTGAATGGAACAGAGAAAATGTTAGGAAAACTAATGACTGAGAATTTTCCAAAATTTGTAACTAATAGCACAGCTATATTTACTAAATTTATAACAAAAGAAATCAAAGCAGAGATCCAAGAAGCTCAGAGAATCCCAAGCAGGATAAATCCAACACACACATACATACCCTACACATATTATATTGAAACCCTTGGAAACCAAAAATACAGAGATCATCTCGATGGCAGTGGAGGCAGGGGCAGGATACAAAGATTAAGCAACCTTCTTGTCAGAAACTACGTAAAGCAAAAAACCATGCAATGACAGCTTTAAATTACTTAAAAAAAAAAAAAAAAGTAAAACAACCAATACTAGGGGCACCTGGGTGGCTCAGTGGGTTAAGCACCTGCCTTCAGCTCAGGTCATGATCTTGCGCTCCCTG